TACCATTGTGTTGTGTGAGCAGTTCCAGAAATGTCGGGACTGGAAGATGTTTCGACATGCAGAGGAAACCAGAACTGGTGAGGCTAGAATGGAGTGATCAGGATAACCACTGCCCTCTCCTAGAGTTTGTGAAGCACGCCTGGTAAAAGTGGTAGGGGAGGGAAGGCATAGTTGATCCGGTCCAACCAATCAACAACAAGGGTGTCGCTCTGCAAGTGGGCATCGAGTCCTCCCCTTGAGCAGTACTGAATGCACTTGGTGTTGGTGTGAGATGCAAAGAGGTCCCTAACAGGAGCTTCCCACTGACCAAAAATGTCCACCATTACCATGCCGTACAATTCACATTCATGGTCAATTGCAAAGTTCCTGCGGAGATCAGCAGCAATCATGTTCTGGGTCCCTGGTAGGTAGGCCAGCCACCAACAAGAAGCTACTGTGGGCAATGCACCATTTCCAGAGGCACACTGCTTCCAAGCACAGCATGGGAACCTTGTGCCTTCTTGCTCATTTACATAGTAAATTGTAGCTGTCAGACATGACGAGAACATGATGAGAATGGATGGATGGTAAAATATATGGCATGCCTTGCATACCGCCCAAAGTTCCAGGATCTTGATATGCATCCTACCTTCTCCAGTGATCCAAGTTCTTTGTAGCATGTGTGATACAGCATGGCCAGAGGGCAGCAGGAGAGTGTTAGAAGGGACCCTTATTCCCTGTAGAGGGAAGAAAGTTTGCTATAGATTAATTAAAGCACCTGAAGCCAATTAGAGCACCTGATAAAACCCGCCTGCTTCAATCAGACAGGAGAAGGAGTTGAAGCAGAGAGCAGTTTGGAGGGAAGCAGAGGAGAGTTTGGAGAAGTGCTGCGGTGGGCTAAGACCAAGACCCTAGGTAAAGGGACACCTGGTTTGTGCAGAGGGAGGGCAGGAAGCCCCACAAGCTGAAGGGCAGGAGAGGGAAGTAGCCCAGGGGAAGGAACTGCGAGTTCAAGAGGTTTACCGCTATCCTTAGGGCCTCTGGGCTGGGACCCGGAGTAGAGGGCGGGCCCGAGTCCCTCCTTCTCCACTCCCCTCCTCTAGGACACTAGTGGGGCAGTTAATACCGTAGTTCAGGGGCGAGAAACGGTGCCCTGAACCCTCCCCAAGAAGAGAAAGCGTGAGACCCCTCAAAGTAGTGCCGGCAATTTGTCACACATGCAATCTCCCATGTGGGCTCCCCAGCTGTCGAGCAATGCATCTGTTACGATTGTCACACTCAATGAGGACTGGAGGAAGGGCTGACCGCATCAAACTTGGAGCGGGACTGTCCACCATCAGAGGAAGGAGAGGACTTCTGGTGGGATGGTGAGAACGGTGTCCATGGGTTGGTGGATGGGGGAGTAGACTGTCCTGCACCTCCTCCAATGGGATCTGAAGAGCATTAGTTATTCTCCTGAGCAGCTCCTGAAATTGACGGTAGTCACCTGGGGGAGAGGAGGGCATCGATGACACAGCTGCATCTGGGGACAACAAGGGGACTCTCTCCAGATCCACTGGTACTGTAGGAGCCGGGCTGACTGGTGTATTGTCCAGCCCTGGTTCTGGACGTCTGCTCAATGAAGGACGGGGCAGTGAGACAGTGGATTCCTTCCAGGTTGAGTGAGATGGTTCTGAAGGCGAATATTAGGGCCACAACTCCAATCTGGCCACCTGATTGATCCTGCAGTTGTTGCGGCAACACTCCCATCCCCAGACACGGGGGGCAAGGAGAGTTGGCGGGAAACTGCTGAAATAGCATCACAAAGTCCTTAATTCTATAAAAATGACTATGAACACTAAAATTACTACAAAATCAGTAAAATCCTAACTATGTACAAGAATAAAAATAGTTTTCCTAGAAAGTTTCGAAAGTGTGTCACCAACAATGAGAGAAAAGGAGAAACTCCGGCTCTGATCTTGCGGTGGTGAGAAGGAACTCAAGACGTGGTCAGTGTAACCCGCCCTTTAGCACCTTGGGCGAAACCAAGAGGCAATGCAAGGGTGCATGCGTGGAACATCAGACACTACTACTTTGAAAAGCTCCAGCTCTGGGTGCACGTGCATAAGCCTCAATGGAATATAATAGGGACCATCACTTGAAGGAGAACCTGAGAAGACCCTGTCATAAATATAAAGGGAAGGGTAAACCCCTTTGAAATCCCTCCTGGCTAGGGGAAAGTTCCTCTCACTTGTAAAGGGTTAAGAAGCTAAAGGTAACCTCGCTGGCACCTGACCAAAATGACCAATGAGGAGACAAGATACTTTCAAAAGCTGGGAGGAGGGAGAGAAACAAAGGGTCTGTGGGTCTGTCTATATGCTGTTTCTGCCGGGGATAGACCAGGAATGGTGTCTTAGAACTTTTAGTAAGTAATCTAGCTAGGTACGTGTTAGATTATGATTTCTTTAAATGGCTGAGAAAAGAATTGTGCTGAATAGAATAACTATTTCTGTCTGTGTATCTTTTCTGTAACTTAAGTTTTTGCCTAGAGGGATTCTCTATGTTTTGAATCTAATTACCCTGTAAGGTATCTACCATCCTGATTTTACAGAGGTGATTTCTATTTACTTCTATTTCTATTAAAAGTCTTCTTGTAAGAAAACTGAATGCTTTTTCATTGTTCTCAGATCCAAGGGTTTGGGTCTGTGGTCACCTATGCAAATCGGTGAGGCTTTTTATCCAACATTTCCCAGGAAAGGGGGGGTGCAAGTGTTGGGAGGATTGTTCATTGTTCTTAAGATCCAAGGGTCTGGGTCTGTAGTCACCTAGACAAATTGGTGAGGCTTTTTACCAAACCTTGTCCAGGAAGTGGGGTGCAAGGTTTTGGGAAGTATTTTGGGGGGAAAAACGTTTCCAAACAGCTCTTCCCCAGTAACCAGTATTTGGTGGTGGTAGCGGCCAATCCAAGGACAAAGGGTGGAATATTTTGTACCTTGGGGAAGTTTTGACCTAAGCTGGTAAAGATAAGCTTAGGAGGTTTTTCATGCAGGTCCCCACATCTATACCCTAGCGTTCAGAGTGGGGAAGGAACCTTGACAGACCCTTTCTACAAGCTTACACAGGGGTAGTTGCAGCATCACCAGAGTGCAAGTGTATTATAGTAAGCCTTTCAACTACAAAATAATTTAATTTTAAAAAGGGAAGGTTGAGATTTAAAATCAATCCAAAAGATAGAAAGTCACAGATACATTAGACATCATGGGTGAAATCTGGTTCCACTGAAGTCATGGCTAAACTCCCACTGTCTTCAACAGAATCCAAGATTTCATCCCAAAATGGATTAATGAGGCTAACTAAAAGTATTTCCTCATGCTTATGTATTGGTGGTTTGATTTCTATTAGCGTTCACATCGCACTCTCCGTCAGTAGCCAGTCCCAAGCCGGGGGAAGCTAATGATCCAACCAGCGGATCAAATTCGGTGATGAATCCTGGTGAAAAATGTGAGGTCTTTTAGATCAGAGGTTCTCTAACTGGGAGGTGTGCCCTCAGGGATGCTGAATATATTGGGGGGGGAGGGGGAAGGAAAAACAAAAAAACCTTACTGTGCACATTTTACTCACAGCAATGAATAACCAGCAAAGCAGATTCCTCCACGCATATCAGGTCCTCAGACGGCATGGTGCATTTGACTCTAGATGGCGCCAAGCATTTTGATGGATTTCTGTTAAGCTTGCATAGCATTATACAAAATCATTGCCATCTATACGTTAATCAGTTTGCTACAATGTGGTGTGCACATTTAATACAAGATAGAAGGGGATTGATAGCTGTCTCAAGCATTCAACCCAGGATGGAATTGCTCTCCTCCAAAAAGCACTATTACACTAGTAACAACAGAGTGATGCAAATAAGCAGTATCTCACTTAAAATTTACAGAACTGTATAACTGAATGGCTCTGTTTGAGTCAATGCTTTACTGTTTTTAATATTTAAGGATTGCACTGGCAGAGTGCAATATTTATTTTCTTTTCATCTGTATACATACTTGTGTGGTGGAAGCATAAATTAACACAGACACAAAGAAGGGGGACATGATCAAATAAGTTTGAGAACCACAGTTTTTGATTGCCTATAAAGAAGTTAGATACGAGCTACAAAGAGCTCCAACTTAGGGATGGGGGGTGGAATGATAGGAGAGGGGTTTACAAAAGAAAAATTCTAGGAAGTACCTTTTAAGCCAGCACAAGTAAATGAATCATAAGAAAAATGGCTATAAATGTAAGAAAACTAGCACCAATAGAAGACACACATGCTAACAACATTTTGTTTCTCACTGGGAACTACTGCAGTAAGGTGCAAAAGAGAAGTTAGAAAAAGAATTACCTTACATATAGGGAATCTAATTGTGATAGCTGGCACCTCCAGAAGTAATGTGTTAGAGTGACCAGCAGCAAAAAGATCAGAAAAGGGAAAACAGGTGAAAAGATAAATGAAGAATAAAAACAAGATAGACTGCAATAACCAACACAATGGAAAACTAGAGCAGCCACGGGCAGTACAACCATTATAAAAAGGAGATGGCACTCATTACAATTATTGTACTATTTAAAAGGACGAGATATTTCATAGTACTGTTGTAGTGATTTCATATATGGGAGACAATGAAAAACTTGGAAGTAGAATACTAATATTGAAGAAAAACCCTGTATTAGCCCGTGTTCCAACTTTAAGTTACAAGCCACTTCAAAAACTCTGTTCATTAGAACAGCTATATTTACATATTTAGAATATCATACTTTACTGTCAATTTCTTTTCTAAAGGATTCATGCAATATGGGTTAAAAGGCACCAATATTTCACAATATCGCTGCTTGCATTTCTTTCAGCCATATTCTAATTTACTATAATTAGAAATGTGAGAACTCATTACATCTTATGCAAGAGTACACACCAGTAAGGTGCCTTTCAGCATAACCTCCTAATTGAAAAGCAGAATTAAACAGACAACACTTCTTCATGAAACAAATTTGCTGTCACCAACCTGAAATCTCCTTTATTGTTGACAACCCTCTCTGGAAGGCAATACTGTGCAGAGCTCTCTAACACCACAATGTCTACAGTTCTTGTATTATTCCCACGTCTGGTTTGCACATGACAACCCCAGTTGCCGGTGGATCCAGCTTGAATATTTGAGATAGTCAAGATGCTATTAAGACAAAAAAAATTATTGAACTTCAGCAAAATGTATGAAAAGCATTTATTAAAAGATGAATAGTGCTCAGAAAGACCATAGAAGCAGCTCAGTAACATGTCCGTGAATGGCCTTACAAAAACTGGGAACCAACTATCCATGAGCCCAAGAACTAGTAATTAACTGTGGCAGAAATCTAGTAGGTCATGTAATCCATCACCCTACAAAAGCAGATCTGTTTGCTATAGTTACAGACAGGAAAACCGATTTTTAAGTTAGTTGGAAGCCATTAAAAAATTCAAAATGAAAATTTTGGCTTGAGTCAATCTGCATAGAAAAATTGCAAAAACATTTTAGTGAGTTGAAAATATCTGTTTTGGGTCTAACAAATTGACTGAGGAGGCGGGGAGGTGGTAGTCTCATAAAAGATTGTTACTTACCTGTATAACTGTTGTTCCTCAAGATGGGGGTGCAGATGTGTTTTCCACTCAGATATGTGTTCACTCAGTGCACCAAAGCCAGAGAACTTTGCCTAATGTTACTTATGGGGTAGTGCTCACTATTTAAGAGCAGAGCTACCCTGCCCCCACACCCCCACCAGTTCCTTTGTACTGAATGTCAAGAATAGAGACTCTGATGCAGAAGATAGAAGGTGGGTCATGGAATACACATCTGCACTCACATCTTGAAGAAGAACAGTTACAATACAGTACGTAAGCATCTTTTCTTCTTCAAGGGTTTGCAGAAGTATATTCCACACAGGTGACTCACAAGCAGCACTCCTAAGAGCTGGGAATCAAAGTCTACTTAAAAATGACTGCAGGACCGCCTTCTCAAACTTTGCATCTGACCTAGACACAAGAGAAATTGCATAGTGACTGGTAAAAAGTACGGAGAGAGACTAGGTAGCAGCCCTGCAAATGTCCAAAACTGAAATATCACTGAGGAATGCTATCAACGTTGCTCAGGCCCTAATCGAATGTGCCCACAATCTCTGTGGAGGCATGATCTGAGCTACTCCATATGCTGATGTAACACAGGAAGTTTACTAGGAGTCCCTCTGAGACCTTTTCCACTCTGCTTATCCAGAACACTTCATCCAGTTCTCTGGGATCCAAAAAATACAATTCAACTCCAGATTTTGTCACTCGGGTTCCTTTATTTAGCATACAGCAAAGCTATGCTTAGTTGATCAGACTCAAGTATATGGGGTGGGTTGTGGGCATACTAAACACCAAAAGTTACACAAAAAAACTCTTCCTTTATATACATCTACACATTATATTGCATCAGACATTTTGGGATTGGTTTGGTTACTTTGAAGGAACCAATTCCTGTGTAGCATGCCCTGTTCATACATTGTTCACGGTCAACCTACTATTTACCTCATTTCTACATTCCTAACTTATCTTGTCCATTGTTAATAAATGGTTCCATGGGTATTCTCTCAGCCCTTAAATAGCCAGGGGAAGGGGCTGGAGGCACAGAGCATGAGCCGTGCTCTGAGGGATACTCCTAGGCAGAGTTCTCTGGCTTTGATGCCCTGGGTATGCGCATATCTGAGTGGAATATACATCAGCAACTCAAAGAAAAAAAATTAAGCCCAGTGTTTAGGGCACTCACCTGAGTTGTTGGAGACCCAGGTACAATTCCCCCCATCCCATGAGCGTAGAAGGGATTTCAAACTTGCATTTCCCTTACTACAGAAGAGAGTGCCATAGGCACTAGTATATGGGATTTCTGGTGTGGGTCTCAATCTCTCCTGTTGAAGCTGTTCCAATTTGTATAAATAATTAAATAGTCATTGGAGCAGAGACTTCAACTTCAGTGCCCTACTTCTTACAAGAGTGCCCTAACCACCAGGTTATATAGGATCATTCACACTCTCTCTGGCCCAATGATTATTCACGGTCATAATGACTGTGAATTGCCATTATGTAATACTGTCTGACAGGGGTCATTTCTTCCAAACCCTCACTGTTGCAGTTTATATATTCACATCAATAAGAACTGAGAAGAGACTATTTGCCACCAACCACTTTACTAAGCAATATGAACCGGGGAGGGGGGGTTTCGACTACCACTCTACGCAGATGTTTTTCACAAGGAATTTACCTTGCAATCAACGAGCAATTATGAATTATGTTCTTTTCAACAAAAATACCCTGAGATTCATCAGTTTCAACAATCTTCCCATCCTGATACCACAACACTTGCATGTCTTGATCAATATATGAAGCCATGCATTGGAAGGGCAGACTGTCTCCTTCAAAGACAACCTGACGATGAGATGGAGTCATGTAGAAAGATGGTAATTCAAGAGGAGGTTCTAGAATCCAAGAGACCAAAAAAAAAAAAAATATCAACAAAACTTCAAATTTAAAAATATAGTTAAATACTATGCTTTATAGATCCACTCTGAAAAAAACCCCTTAAATTTAATAATCATCAAAATAAGAAATTTTTTTTTCTTTGGAATATAGTTTGATATAATCAGATCTCTGTCTTAGCTGGCTTTTTTAAAAAAAAGAGCTGGGAAGGATTTAAATAAACTGTATTTCATAACGACTCACATCTTCAATTGACCTCCAATGGGCTAACTGTATCTTTCAAAAACTGTATTCAGTCAGTTTAATGAATTACAGAAGCTGTTTGCCAACCTAGTTCCAGAAAAAAAAAAAGCAATACAAATAAAACAAATCTGTGCATTTATATATTTCTTTTACAAATATTAAGCAACCTTCAAAATTTCAAGTGATATATGTTAATATGTTTAAGATTTACAGATAGGTAAATTTAGGCAATTTTCTCGTGATCTCAGAGTGAACTACTCTTACAGCTACAAACAGAAATCCACACTCCCAGTCCCAAGCTGCATGAACTTTACAATCACCGATTGATATGAAAGTAGTATACTTTGTTTATACTGAGAGCTTAATATTCTTGATAACTCCCAGTTTTGACAACAGAATGAGAAGTAATCCTCATAATAGGACATTTGTACACAGTTCTCAATGTATCATTCAGAGAAGTTAGTCCTGAATTAGGATAGTGAACTGTACAAAAGCAGGTGGGATTTACCACAATTTTAATACTTAAAGAGAGCATAAAGAACATGACTTATGTAGCCCTCTAAAGACTCACAGAACCACTGGACCTATCTAGGTTAGGAAAATAGGTAGTGTTGGAAAACATGCCACCTAAATGTGTCTTTTAAACTTGACTTTACATCTAGTGTAGACACAATCCAAAACCTTTAAAGTGTCTTAGCTGGTCAGCTTTGAGTGGGCCTGCATAGCTATGTTAGGAGAATGCAAGGGTCTTTTCTGAGCCTGATGGGCAATATTTCTAGGGGGTTCAGTGACCCATCCACTTGATTCTTCTTGTTCTTCCTCTTTAAGGATCATCTTGGGGAAGACCTCGGAATGCTAACAAACTCCTCAGTATTCTTTGAAAAAAACTGCTAAAGAAAGTTTCTCCTGAGTTTCACTCTCTGTGCATCTAGCTTTGAACCAGACAACTGGCCCAGCAAATCAACAGGTTCCTTCTGATTCTCTTCTCTTGGATTTTACTGTTTCATTTCACGACACCTCAAATTTCTTATTTGGGTCTTTTATGGATTGACTGGTCTCCAAGAAAGATAAGGAGGGAGGGAGGTGAATAGGACAATCTCTTTCTCCTTTTAACTATTAGGGCTTTAGACTTGGAGGGTTTTGCATAACTCAGATCTAACCAGTCTGACAGAAAAACCTGAGAAATGAAGGACAAACCCACCAGTTCTCTATTTTTCATGTAAGAAGTCAAGTTTAACTGCTGTTTTTGAGAGGATTGCTCCTCCAAGGGTAAGATCAGGGGCCTAGACAACAACTCTCCCTCTGATACCAGAAGCAGCAAGGCAATCTGAAGACTACTGTCAATCTGTGGACCAGCTTAGTAGAAGGAATCACTATAAACACTACATAGAAGTACCAAATTGAAGGAAAGCAGAAAAAATAAAGGATTAGCTACTCACACTAAATAAACCCAGTATGCATTAATTATTAAGCGTCATTTATCTAGAATTCTTACCACATGTTAGAAGCTCCTGCTTAACTGATGTTACTAGTTGTGCTTGCAATGACTTGGGGTAAGCACATTTAGTTTCACGTACTGTTATATTTCTTTCCTTTAACCACTGATGCAGCCACAAAATGTTACAGTCACATAGAAGATAATCAGTCTGAAATTCTCTGTAACATGCAAAAGACAGATAATCACAATAACAAATGTAATATTCAGTTTTTTATGTTTACCCTCCTATTAGTTTTAGAATGCCTATCACAATTTACTACAAATTTCCTAGAGAATCACAGAAACGTAGAACTGGAAGGGACCTCACGTAGTCATCTAATCCCCTCCCCTTCATGCTGAGGCAGGATTAAATATGCCTAGACTATGAAAGTGAAAAAGTGTCAATAATAGCAAAAGTTAAGAATATTGCACTATACTGTACTGTGTGTTTAAAAAACAGTTTCTAGATTATTATTCAGCAGTGATTTAAACTAAAGTCATTTATATGTGCTGTAGTTCACCAAATGTGACGATTTCATGCCATGAATTGGATCCATGCCAATACTGCCTGCGCTCAAACTCTTAACTAGAAGAGTTTTCCTGCTTTTCTTCCTCCTGTGGTTCCAGTTCTGAAACTAAGGAGGACACTGAGCAGGATCTGGGTTTGTATTTCCTTCTCTTAAATCTGCTCCTCCCTAAAGAATTGGCATCAGGAGACTCTGAAGAGACAAGAGGAAGGACTCCTGTGCCTGCACACAAGTTTAGCCTTCTGGCATACCACAGCCTTTTTTAGGGATGCGCTTTTTTTTTTTTTTTTTCCCCTCCTATGAGGACCTGGGAAAAGGAAGGTGTCCAATGACCATGGAGACTAGTCCCTGTATGTCCTTCCCATTTTCCTTTTCTTGTTTGTCTGAATGAATGCCCATCAGATTCTGAGAGTGAATGGGAGAGTGAATTCTGCTGGGAGAGCTCTGGGGATCTGCTAACTGATGGGCAGCAATCTTTCTTATGCCCAGAATTGAATGCTTTTCCTGCATCTCCTGAGAGGGAAGTTTTACTGAATCTACACAGAGGTGGCCAACCCTGGAGAAAAATTACTATGCCAGATCTGGGTTAGCCAAATCCTGAGATTTACCAGATCTCTTCTGACCTCAGTGCTCTATTGAGGCTGGCAGTAACTCAAAACCCTGCTGGAGGAATCACACTCCTGCCCTAGAAGGGCAAGGAATACTCTGGAGCTATCCTGGGGTCCTGTGCTTCTACTGGTCTGGGTCTAGATATGCCACTCCTGGCTTGAGAGAGGGACTCCATGAAGGACCCTGCCCGAGCTGGCTTCGCTGAGATGTGCATGGCTCCTAACTCACAGAAGACACAGTAATCCCCACACAGGCATTCCACAAGTGGGGTAGGGAAAACCACACGTCTGTGCTTTCCCCTTCTTCTTGCCCTTCTCCGTGCTGCACTCTGTGAAGGTGTGTGTGGGGGGCAGATCAGGAGGGGGGGGCACTGGTAGAAAAGAACTACACACTTACATCCCCATGACCAGAAACAGCTACAGAATGCAAATTTATGTCCAAAATACTTTTTATTTATATATAGATATAAAAATAATATATATATATATATATATATAAAATAAATGAATTATTTTGGCCATATATTTACATTCTGTAGCTGTGTTTCTGGTCATGGGGATGTAAGTGTGTAACACACTCACACACACACACTCAAAAACAAAAGGTCTCACAGAAGGTCTGAAGCTATGAAGGCAATGAACAATTGTCAGATATAGCTGACCATGCCCTCCCCTATCAGGGACTGATGGGTTTGGTTCTGCCTAAGTAGTTGCACACTGCTTGAGCCAAAGCCAGAGCCAGGTTTAACGGATCTATGGACCTTGAAGACAAAAAAGAATTTGTAGTAACTTCTTTGGCAGAAGGAGTACAGTAACTTTGGTGCTTACATGAGCAAATTCATGGGCACAATAACAGTTTATTTGAATAATACTATCTACTTGACTGAGGTTTATTTATTTATTTATTTAGTAGAGAAGCAAGAGTAAAAAAAAATCTATAATGGTATAAGGTTAAGATACAGATTAAAAACAAGTTCTATGCAGTGGTCACTCAAATGTGTTGCCTGTTTCTCTCATTACAGGCTATACTACACTCACTAATGCAACCGTGTGTGTTTTTTTCCCATTAAATGAAACCCCCAGTAACTTCGCTATGATTAAAATAGGCCTTTTCCACATCATTTCTGATTTTCATTGATTCATAAAATCCTCTCATTGTATGTATAATATAACACGTCCTGGTACAAAGACATCCAAATCCCCATTAAAAAGTCTGCTATAGTCAGGAAACAATAATTTATATATCTAAATATTGTCTAAAAAAAAAAAAGGGCCCCTCAGTCTGAACTGATTTGTTTTTCATCTTTGTTAAAAATCTCTACTTCATGTGTATTTTATTATTTCACAGCAACAGCGAACAGTGCCCAAAAGATTTATGCAAGCCAAGGCACAAACACTTAACACTGAAACAATATACATTCCTAACTGGGGAGTTCTGATACAAGCTTTTTGGTCTTTGTTAACAGGAATTCCTAAAGACACATTTTAAATACTAACATTGATATCCAGGATGTTGTAGCATGCTCATTAAGTTCTTAAACAGACTCATGCTCTTCAGGACAGGGACCATTTTTATTAGTACAGTGCTGAGAGTATTAGAGCTCAAGAAATAAACCACGAATAATAATCAGACTTGAGAGGAGGCATTATCTGCCTTGGAATAAGGAGAGAGTTCACTTTATGACCAGTGCCAGCAGCTAGAGAATCTGCAAGACTCCTGATATGGCAGCCCAACCTACATAGCTGTCATAGAATATACAAACTTTTAACAGTCAGGTTGTCATGAAGTAATTCATCCACTTTCTACATACACAGTATGACAATAAAGGAACTAAGGGCTGCTAAAGGAGCAAAGAGAAAAACAGAATGAGATTGAGACACGAATTTTTATATCCAACAGTCACACTTTTTGTTCTTGGAGAACTGTAAACTTTTGGAGAGTACCTTTCTTCATTTGCAAAAAGAACAGGAGTACCTGTGGCACCTTAAGGACTAACAAATTTAAATAATAAATAATAAATCTGTTAGTCTCTAAGGTGCCACAGGTACTCCTGTTCTTTTTTCGGATACAGACTAACACGGCTGCTACTCTGAAACCTTTCTTCATTTGTAAAATAAGACAAAAAAGGCCAAAACTTTATTTAATACAAAATAATAACTGGCATCTGTAGGGTGGGATTTTCAAAAGTTCTCAGTGATGGCCTAACTCTGATCCTACTGACTTCAAAACAGAGATGAGTTAGACAAAGATTGAGTACTTTTGAAAATTACATCCAGAGTACTTTTCATCTTCAAACTATGACTAACCCTTGTACCATTTTCTTGTGCAAAATTCTGCACCCATGTCAATCCAAGCCTACTCAGAAATAAACTGTTATAATATGTTTAAAAAACAAAACAAAATCTAAATTGCCAATGTCTAATTGGGATAGCATTGAATGTGTAGATCTGTCAGAATCAAAAATATTGTTTGCTTTAATTTAGTTTCTTTGCACTCAAAAAAATGTCTACTGAAGCTCACCATGTTTACCCTTTTAAACTGGTTTTTAAAATCGCTGAAAAACTTATCTAAGATCATACAAATTAAAACCAAAATTAATATATACTTACAAAGACTTTAGTGAGTTAAGATGATCAAGGGTTCCTTGTGTTAGTGCAGAAAACAAATTCCCTGAAAGATTTCTAGGACATAAAATGGCAATAATTAAATTGTTTTATACTTAAGCAATATATTTGACACTAAGTTATGTAATTAAACACAAATTTCCTCTTTCAAAATGTGTTTTTATTTTTTAAAAGTAACTTATGAAATACAGTCATCAAAAGAGGACATGGGAGCAGTCTTTAAAACATTAGACATCACAATGTAAGCCTGATGGCCCAGCTAGAGAACCCTAACACCAAAGATGTTCCTCCATTCTTCTCTTTTATTTGAAAGTATTATGAGTTTGAGAATAAAACTATTCAACTCAAATATCTCATTTTTGTTTAAAATGACACTTATGTTGAAATATACACCAGAAAAAAAAGCATATTTAAATTTTAGTTCAAAGTTGGCAAATAATCAGTGTTACCAGAAAGGTAGTGCAAGAAAACAACCTGCTTAGATATACCATTTACAAAAAAAAAAAAAAAAAGGGGGGGGGAAATCACATCATAGATTTTCTCTTATGTGGCTCATCTGGAAGTGCTGCAGAGACACCAAGCAACACATGGGGCAAAGGGAGTGTTCTGTGTCTGTGGAATACAACCTTTTTTGCCAACTAAAAAAACCCCAAACCTTCTGTGTATCCAAAGGACATCTCATCAAGTTCTCTACAAGGAGGATAGTCACCTTGATGCTCTGGCATAAAGGACAAAAGTTAAAAGATAATGTAATGCTGAAATAGTCTTCTAGGGAAAATATGTATTACAGACAAGTACCCCTTTTTCTTCTTTCCTATATTTTCCAAGAATGCAAAACTAGGGGAGGCAACAGCAGACAGGGCACAGGACTGGTTCTATTCTTTATTCTCCCATTGACTAGCCGACAGTAGGCAACGCATGTAACCATTATGGCCTTGATCTAGTGAAGCATTTAAGCTTGTGCTCAACTTTAAGCATTAGTAGTCCCACTGAAATAAAAAAAAGGTTGAATTAAATGAGAACTATAAATTCTCTCTCAAACATGTACAACAGAATTATACTTACAATCTAACAAGATTTATGAGTCCTCTAAATATATCTGCATTCAGGCAGCCTATTTTGTTGTTACTTAAATCTCTACAAGGAGAAAAAGCAAAACAAATATTAATTGCTTCATTTCATCATACAATACACACACACACACACTACAAAAAAGGTACTTTAACTGGTTTACCTGAATAATGGGTCATGCTAAACATAGTCTTCATGAACAGAAAACAGAAGATGTTGGCCTATTCGACTACATGCTGAACTCTTTCAAAATGCTTTTGTTACTTAGGCAAGGTCAGCACAGGAAAGGCTTGCTGTCATAACTATACCAGCATACACTCGTAGCATAGACACAGCTTATACCAATAAGAAGGTGCTTTTGCCAGTATAGTTTATACAAGATCCCAGAGCAAAATGTGTGACATTGTGAAAAGGAATTTTATGTGTAATAAAATTTTGTCCACACTTAGGTTTTTGCCAGTACAGAAATGTCAAAAATATCACACCCGTAACCAACACTATTATACCAGCAAGTTTCTAGTGTAGATTATTCAAATTGCAAAATGGCCCCACTAAAGAAAATTCAGCCCTCTAGGCCCAAATTTGCATTGGAATATTTGTACATGTAAATACTACTTAATGTAAGGAACACAGATTTGGTCCCTCAACTGCTTATTTTTTAAGTCTTCAAAAGATGATTACCCAATTTAATTTCCCTTTAGGCATAACAGATTTTTTTTTCAATGACAGATAAACTGCTAGAATCCATGTGAGGACTTTCACCATCGAAAGTCATAGGAAGGCACATGCATTTTACAATCACTACAGTTTTGAGGAGTTCAAAAATTACTTACTATAAACCAGTTTCTTTCAAGATCCTCCAAATTTTATGGAGTTGGAAGAGGCCTTTTGGCTCTTAGCATGTTATCTATCTATCATAAGGTTTTATGCTGGCACCCATCACTGAAGTATCACAACAGCTTCCATATAAAATCAATTAGCAACATCAAGTCCCTAACGAACCTCATGGATCCTCTGGCTCTTCCCTGTTTTGGAGTATAAAAGGTTACGTTTTTGATTGGTTGATTGATTTGTTTGCATTTTTACATAGGAAGCAGGGCAGGCAGATGAGCTTTTAGTACTGTGGGTATTCTTTTTTAATTGGTGGAAACACTTTGCCAAAAAAGAAGGTTTTACATCATTTCCTAAAGATGATCTCTAGATTTGCCTGAACTCCTCTGGATATTCATTCCGTAGTCAGAGCCCCGCAAAAATGCTCTCTCTCTAGTTCTCAGGTGCTTCATTATGGTCTTTGCAATCCACACCTCCCCAGAGCAGCACAACCGTCTCAGTGGTTAATAGATTTAATATAGCTGTGGCTTGGTCCATTTGTTGTTTTGAAGATAGTACTGAGGTCTTAAACTGGCAACAGCTGATGGGCTTGATGAGTTCACAGCAGCCCAAACCATAGAGGTTTTCAATCAGCAGCAGCCCGTGCATTGTTTTCACATTATGCTTCAAATACAGCATCTCCCACTAATCCAATCTGGAGAAGAACACTGTGGGAAGGCGCTCATCGCACAATGGAGGTAAAAATGGTATTTTTAGATGTTACATGAACATCCAAGCCTTATGAGGACTCAAACAGGACCCAGAGGCTTCACACCACTTCTAACAAGCTCTTCCAAACATTTCTCCCTTCCAGACAGCATTATTTCAGTCTTGCCTGAGCTGAATTTCAGCCAGCTGCTTTTCTTCCAGGACCTGATGTCTTCACGGTATTTGGACAACTCAGGCCTTGTCTATACTGGCACTTTACAGCACTGCAACTTTCTCGCTTAAGGGTGTGAAAAAACACCCCCCTGAGCGCAGCAAGTTTCAGCGCTCTAAAGCACCAGTGTGGACAGTGCACCAGCGCTGGGAGCCATGCTTAACTGGCTCCTTGTGGAGGTGGTTCTTCTGGAGTGCTGGGAGACCTCTCCCCCAGCGCTCTGCTGCAACTACACAAGCCACGTTAAAGCACTGCCACAGCAGCGCTTTAACATTGTCAGTGTAGACTAGCCCTTAGTGGTGGTGGTTGCATTAATGGAGAACAAGACATACAACTGAATCATCAGCATACTGTTGATAGTTTTATAACTTTTCACAGCACTCCACGGGTGAGGACCTTTAGGGAAGAGGAGCAGTTACCAGTCACCATTCTCAGAGTTCTGTTAGAGATGAATGATTTGGAGCCATTGTAGTATTATGCTGTCTACTCCCACTATTGCACATGAGCAGGTTAGAGGTACCAAAGAAACGAGCTGTTAGATGAGCCAGTTAAGCATTTAATTTTTTTTAAAATGCTTAAATTTTAAGCACATGCTTAAGTATTTTCCTGAGCTGAGATCTGACTGACTGATTTATATAGTGCCTATAACATGAGCTAATTAGGAGCTACTAAGATATTTCTAGAGCATTGGTCACCACAGTATATTAATACTAAACATCGCTAAAAATTCTATAACTTAAAAGCTGCCCCACAGATTTTTGAAAATCTTTCAGAGAAAGGAATAAAAATGGATGGTTCTCATGCTGGGATCTTGTTTTCCAAGTTTCAGCCTGGAGCAAGTTTTTATAGCCCAGACCGAAATCCAAGAAATATGTATAATAAGAGAGTTGGCACAACCTTAATAAAGTGGCATTAACAGCACTAACTTTCACTAAGATATTAATAACTAGGGACTTGGTATTCTTCTATGACCTTTTAAAGGAAGTCACTGTGAAGTAGTTCTCTGTACTTCAGAGGGTTATTCCTGATGACATCAAAGCTTTAGATGAATATGAAGCCACTTGTGGCTCAAGACATAATACACAGGAAGAATGATAGCGCAATTACTGACAGAAAATATCCAATAAATCTGGTTATGAAAGATTGGCAAGCCAAACGTAGCTCTCCAAAGCATGGTTCCACTCAGAAAAGCAGCTCTGAAAATGGCAACGAAGTTTCATGTGTGGTCTTTCAATGATTTCTACATTAAATGTGCTCAATTACAGGAGATGGTGATTGTGTTTGCTTTTAAACTGCCAACCCCTCAAACTTAATCTGAATCTGAAAAAAATCATAAAACTAAATAAGATACTTACAGTCTTTTTAGAGATGGAAGCCCCATAAAAGCACCTGGATCTATAATATTAATAAGATTGTTCTTTAGGTCCCTGTTAAAAAAAATGTGTAAAAGAGAAAGGTCAAATATTAAAATTTATGGCAGAGAAACTGACTTTTTATATATAGAACTTAACACCTTTAAATTGCAAATGAGCCTCCTCCTGACTTGTCAGAAAGCACAGAATACATACTTATTTTTCTAACATTTTTCAAATTTTACTCATTATCTTTGATATTTTCCACAATAAGGGATATAAACATTTCTTATTTTCATTTAAATATGCTATCAACTGTATCTCTTACCATATTGTAAGGGTGGGAATCTGTCAAAGATGTAATATATTGCATCATGCTCATTAGACTACATTGAGCAGTATGTAATGTGATTTTTCTTTTCTGCTGAGTTTTACTGCTCTGTGTTGATGAACCATTGAGCAAAGAAAGTGAGGCAACATCCTGTGCCCACTGAATTCAATGTTTAAGCTCCCACTGACTTCAATGGTGTAGGATCAGGGACTTGGATCAGCATACCAGCTGGAGGTAGGACGGCTGTAGACAATGGATCATGTGATTTGTCCTGATTTGGGGACAACTTATACCTTCAAGTCAGTGGCACTGCTATGGGTACCTGCATGGTCCCACAGTATGCCAACATTTTTATGGCTGACTTAGAACAACGCTTCCTCAGCTCTCATCCCCTAGCTCCCCTGCTCTACTTGCGCTACACTGATGGCATCTTCATCATATGGACCCATGGAAAAGAAGCCCTTGAAGAATTCCACCATGATTTCAATTATTTCCATCCCACCATCAACCTCAGCCTGGACCAGTCCACACAAGAGATCCACTTCCTGGACACTACAGTGCAAATAAGTGATGGTCACATAAACACCACCCTATACCGGAAACCTACTGACCGACATACTTACCGACATGCCTCCAGCTTCCATCCAGGACACATCACACGATCCATTGTCTACAGCCAAGCCCTAAGATACAACCGAATTTGCTCCAATCCCTCAGAGACAAACACGTACAAGATCTTTATCAAGCATTTTTAAAACTACAATACACCTGGAGAAGTGAGGAAACAGACTGACAGAGTGAGACAGGTACCCAGAAGTCACCTACTATAGGCAAGGCCCAAAAAGGAAAATAACAGAACACCACTGGCCATCACGTACAGCCCCCAGCTAAAACCTCTCCAGCACATCATTGACTATTTACAACCTATCCTGGAAAACAATCCCTCACTCTCACAGACCTTGGGAGGCAGGCCAGTCCTCGCTTGTAGACAGCCCCCCAACCTGAAGCAAATACTCAACAGCAACCACACACCATGCCACAGAAACACCAACCCAGGAACCAATCCCTGTAACAAACCCCGTTGCCTACTCTGTCTCCATATCTACTCTAGCGACACCATCAGAGGACCCAACCACATGAGACACATCATCCGGGACTCATTCACCTGCACATCTACTAATGTGATATATGCCATGTGCCAGCAATGCCCCTCGGCCATGTACATTGGCCAAACCAGACAGTCTCTACGTAAAAGAATAAATGGACACAAATCAGACATCAGGAATGGTAACATACAAAAGCCAGTAGGAGAACACTTCAATCTCCCTGGACATTCTATAACAGACTTAAAAATAGATATACTTCAACAAAAAAACTTCAGAAACAGACTTCAAAGAGAAACTGCAGAACTAAAATTCATTCGCCAGTTTAACACCATTAATTTGAGCTTGAATAAGGACTGAGAGTGGCTGGCTCACTACAAAAGCAACTTTCCCTCTCTTGGTATAGACACCTCAGCAGTTATTGGGAGTGGACCACATCCAACCTGACTGAACTGTCAATACGGGTTCTCCACTTGTAAGGTCATTTCCTTCTCTTCATGTGCCAGCATATTTATGCCTGCATCTGTAATTTTCACTCCATGTATCTGAAGAAGTGGGTTTTTTACCCACGAAAGCTTATGTCCAAATAAATCTGTTAGTCTTTTAGGTGCCACCGGACTCCTCGTTATTTTATGAACTCTAAGTTTGATTTGTACTTTTGGTTCTTATCTTGATACACGTTACAGTTTAATTTGAGACAGAGAAATAATCTGTCTGGCCAGTATTTATATAGTTTTAGAACAAACAACCATAGCAGATGAACTCTAAAAACATGTTCCCAACTCCTTATTCATTCAAACTCTTGGTTGCTTACCAATTTAATCTCAAACGTCTCTTATGTTATTTCTCTGGGGTAAAATTCTGGCAACACTGACATCAGTCGGAGTTTTCTCATTGACTCTGGGTGTGTGTGTGTGTCAGGATTTCATCCTTGAAGTCTAAATACATATCTGTATTTATTTTGATTAGTCATGGATTTGATGCATTTATTTCTAAATGTTTGCTCATCACATGAGGGCCACCAAACGGCTGCTGCAATCCAAAAGAATTATAAACCTGGGGAGAGGGGGAAATCTAAAATCCCCAGTTAAAGGTAAAGGTGGGGAGGGGGAGAATAGAAGTATCTCCTGAATCTACTACACTGGTGAATATTCTGCCACCAGATAAAGGTGCACATCACTCAAACAAGGGGATAAAGTCTCTACTGTCACACATGTATGCCTACATCAAGTGTAAATTTCACTCCTAAAGGATTTTCTGGTATTCGGAGGGGACCTTTTCAGGCAAGGAGAGCTTTGGTGCTGTGAATCTAAGGTCTCATGGAAGTGCTCCTTCTGATCTCACTTATTTGGACTATCTTTTCCAATGCAATGACTTGGAGTCCATCTTCTCTCTGAACAATGGTGGGAAGAAACAATAACCCAGGTGTCTGGAGGGCTATACAGCCAGCTTCCTTCAAGGGTGCTGCTGACTTAGCTACTGATGCTATGGCAGATACGAGAAGACTACACACCCTCTTCCCATCACCCATATCTTGAGCATGGAGAACAGGAGACATTTATTCTTTGGATTATTTCTTATTTATTTGAAAACTACCTCTACATTGCTTTAGGTACATTCACAAATGCACAAAATACAAATAACTAAAACTGTAGATTTCAGAGGAACAGCCGTGTTAGTCTGTATTCGCAAAAAGAAAAGGAGTACTTGTGGCACCTTAGAGACTAACCAATTTATTTGAGCATGAGCTTTCGTGAGCTACAGCTCACTTCATCAGATGTATACCGTGGAAACTGCAGCAGACTTTATATACACACAGAGAATATGAAACAATACCTCCTCCCACCCCACTGTCCTGCTTCCTCGTGGCTGGATTTTACTAAAACTAGACAAGCCATTTACAACGCACACTTTGCTTCTCTACAAAAGAAAAAGGACACTAAACTTTCTAAACTACTACATGCTACAAGGGGCCACAGCAATGGTTCCCTCACCCCACCTAGCAATATTGTTAACCTATCCAACTATACTCTCAGCCCAGCAGAAGCAGCTGTTCTATCTCGGGGCCTCTCCTTCTGCCTCTCCACCCCCACGAACATGATACAGTTCTGTGGTGACCTAGAATCCTATTTTCGACGTCTCCGTCTCAAGGAATATTTCCAAAATACCTCTGAACAACATACTAATCCACAGAGGTCTCCCTGCCAACACTACAGAAAGAGGGATTCTAGATGGACTCCTCCTGAAGGTCGAAACAGCAGACTGGACTTCTACATAGAGTGCTTCCGCCGACGTGCACGGGCTGAAATTGTGGAAAAGCAGCATCACTTGCCCCATAACCTCAGCCATGCGGAACACAATGCCATCCACAGCCTCAGAAACAACTCTGACATCATAATCAAAAAGGCTGACAAAGGAGGTGCTGTTGTCATCATTAATAGGTCGGAATATGAACAAGAGGCTGCTCGGCAGCTCTCCAACACAAGTTTCTACAAGCCATTACCCTATGATTCCACTGAGAGTTACCAAAAGCAACTACAGCATTTGCTCAAGAAACTTCCTGAAAAAGCACAAGATCAAATCCGCACAGACACACCCCTGGAACCCCGACCTGGGATATTCTATCTACTGCCCAAGATCCATAAACCTGGAAATCCTGGGCGCCCCATCATCTCAGGCATTGGCACCCTGACAGCAGGATTGTCTGGCTATGTAGACTCCCTCCTCAGGCCCTACGCTACCAGCACTCCCAGCTACCTTCGAGACACCACTGACTTCCTGAGGAAACTTCAATCCATCGGTGATCTTCCTGATAACACCATCCTGGCTACTATGGATGTAGAAGCCCTCTACACCAACATTCCACACAAAGATGGATTACAAGCCGTCAAGAACACTATCCCCGATAATGTCACGGCTAACCTGGTGGCTGAACTTTGTGACTTTGTCCTTACCCATAACTATTTCACATTTGGGGACAATGTATACCTTCAGATCAGCGGCACTGCTATGGGTACCCGCATGGCCCCACAGTATGCCAACATTTTTATGGCTGATTTAGAACAGCGCTTCCTCAGCTCTCGTCCCCTAAAGCCCCTACTCTACTTGCGCTATATTGATGACATCTTCATCATCTGGACCCATGGAAAAGAAGCCCTTGAGGAATTCCACCATGATTTCAACAATTTCCATCCCACCACCAACCTCAGCCTGGTCCAGTCCACACAAGAGATCCACTTCCTGGACACTACAGTGCTAATAAACAATGGTCACATAAACACCACCCTATACCGGAAACCTACTGACCGCTATTCCTACCTGCATGCCTCCAGCTTTCACCCTGACCACACCACACGATCCATCGTCTACAGCCAAGCTCTGCGATACAACCGCATCTGCTCCAACCCCTCAGACAGAGACAAACACCTACAAGATCTCTGTCAAGCTTTCTTACAACTACAATACCCACCTGCAGAAGTAAAGAAACAGATTGATAGAGCCAGAAGAGTTCCCAGAAGTTACCTACTACAGGACAGGCCTAACAAAGAAAATAACAGAACGCCACTAGCGGTCACCTTCAGCCCCCAACTAAAACCCCTCCAACGCATTATTAAGGATCTACAACCTATCCTAAAGGATGA